GACTGGTCAGCGCTATGAATACGGTCAAATCTGTGTAGCACTGATTAATCTAAACTGTTACTGTAAACTGTGATCTAGGTGGAAAGACAGGTGGATAGAGAGGAAGGGACTCTAGATTCAGTTACCTCCTCCCTGACTACACACTTGGTGGGGAGCTCTGGGTTTTGTTTCTAGAAGCATCTGCCGCCAGGTCTTGCTTCTGAAGGTGGTTGGGACAATCACAGGGTAGATCATACTTAAAATTGTACGGAGCTGTGTCATTTTCAAGGCACTTTTAAGGCGAGATGGCTGTGCGGCTGGGGACTGAAGAGAATGCAAGTTTCTCCGACTTGGCCCCAGTGCGCCCAGCCACTCCAGGTCAGTGTCAGGCTCTGCTCTGTGCTGTTCTCCATGCTGGCACCTTCTGATTTAAAAAGCAAATGGTTGCTGTAGGTCACCAATCTGCCTCACGTAGGTCCTACTGGTCTGGATGGGACTAAATGGATAGTAGCTCAGTATTTGGCCAGAATCTGGAAGGGTGGCTGCATGCGGTGAAGACACAGCATGTGGTCACTTCGGCCAGCAATGGAGCCATCCTGTGCCCTCATCGTGCCATGTGGCATTATCTGCCTGACAGGAGGGGTTCTGAGCGCCCTGTCTTGCTGTGTTACTGACGTTTGTGGCTGCGTTTGCACAAGGAGTTGTTTCCATTAGGGATCTCTGGTGTGAGGGAGGGGTACCTATTAAGGGTTAACAGGGAGGCGCCCGCGTTAGCCTGCCTCCGATCAAATGCCGCTTGGCTCCTTGCAAAATGCATGACTTTCGCTGAGTCACTTAATACCACTGGGCCTCCATTTTTCTCTTCTTGATAAAATGCAGGAAAAATCACATTTTTAACCTCAGCATTGCAGTAAAAATTGATATGCCTAAACGTCTTTGGAGCATTTTCTGCTGTGTCTGGCCCTCCAGGAAAAGTAGCTAGGAGGATTTACAGGGGTACCTCGTGTTCCTGAACTTCACACATACTGCGTTTTTGCAAATTGACGGTTTGAGGCAACTCTGCATCGAGCAAGTCTAGCGGTGACATGTTTCCAACTGCGTTTGCCCATTTCATGTCTTTGTGTCACATTTTGAGAATTCCTGCAATATTTCAAACGCTCCATGAGCAAAAAAGAATATGACTTGCTGAAGGCTCAGATGATGGTTAGCAATTTTGTGCTATAAAATGTTTTTTAAATTAAGGTATGTACTTTAGAAAAAATGATATAAGGCTCTCACACCTTTAATAGACAACAGCATAGTGTAAACATAACTTTTAGATGCACTGGGGAATCATAAAATGGGTGTGACTCACTTTATTGTGGTAGTCTGGATTTCTCCAGGGTTTGCCTGGATAAAGACTTTCTTGGACTTGAGCTTCAAACTTCTCAGGCAGCGGTAGTTTGAGAAAAAACACATAGCCCGATGGGTTTGATTCAAAGTGTTGCTGTGTCACCAAGAAAAATAAGGTGAATCTACTCCCACCCGCTAAATCCACACACACCACCCCAGCTTTGGATTCTGTCCTGTACCAGCCTGCTGGGTGGGCTCTCCTGTGAAAATCCATCACAGTCCTTTTTGTCCTTTGAATTTAGGGGAATAACCAGTCTCGTTGGTGGTTTTTCTTTACTTCTCTTCATCTGCCTACAAACCCAGAGGGCTGGGGTGCTACTTTGTGTTTCATGGGGTGAAAATGCCCATCATTTTCTTGGCAGACTGCCACGGGGACGGTGAGATAAAGGGAAAGGGAAATTGCAGTGGAGCTAATGAGTCTAGGAAGTTGGCACGGGAGGGGGTGCCAGGGTCCCCCATCCTCACTTTGCGTCTAGGCGTTGACTCAGGTGGCTACCCACCGCTTGCCGGAAAGGCATGGAGCGATAAGCACCTCATGTGATGGAAACGTTTACTGTGTTTAGTCTTTGCTGTTGACAACACGGTATCAGCGTCCACCGTCGGCACCTGCAGCCAGCGACGAGGAGTACGATGATGGCTAGCGCGTTCCGACCACACAGCAGACTGGCCCAAAGTCAGACAAGACTGCCACGTGGATTGGCTTTCTCCTCTTGCCCTTCTTTAGCAAAGCTCTATTTTTATCCCCCTTGTACAGATGAAGAAACTGAGGCTGAGCTCACAGTCGCTAGTCCAAGGTCATTCACAGACTTCATCAGTTAGCCAACCGCAACAGAAATAACTTTGTAAAAATAGAAGGCTGGTTGGATTATTTAAATTTACTTACAGTAAAATCTTACGAGCATCTTTGAAGCCGGCATACTGATCTGTGGTGAGCTTTAGGTTGTCCGTATGTGGGGGAAGAAAGTGTCACAAATGTTATCTGGCCTTTGTTTTCCAGCTTCCATCGTGATTCAGAAATGGTGGTGTCACATGAATCCTTGTTTGGAAGGAGAGGATTGTAAAGTCCTGCCAGATTACTCAGGGTGGTCCTGTAGCAGTGGCAATAAAGTCAAAACTACAAAGGCAAGTACAGACGCAACACAACTGTCATTTACAACCTCAGCACGTGGCTCCCTGTGGGGGCCTCCCCCTTCATCTCATGGCACCATCAAGACGGCAGCGTCATTTTAGGTTGACCAACCTGCTTGGGCGGGGCCCCCCATGAGTTTGGCCTTTTGAGCAGCCCATTTCACAACATCACCCTTACTTACTGTCAGATTTTATAGGGCAGTGATTTCGTGGGGGAACTCGTTATTTTAGGCAGGGCCACTGAATTCATTTCAGCTCCTTTACAGGCCGATTTAAAGGGAAGGTTTCCGAGTTGACAGTCCCATGTATTAAAACAGCATGTACAGAGTCCACCTCCAGATGAGTTACTGAAACAGAAATACCTTGTGCCTGGGAGGAGATTTAATGGTTGAATTCTCTAATTCAAGCCTTGTAAGTCAACAGCTTCCTCCCCGAATCATGCTCTCTCCAGTGCTGTCTCTGAAGGAGGACTCCACTGTCTGCCCAGTTCTTGAGTCAGAAATACAGCTTTTCCCTCATCTCCCCCTGTCCAGTCTACTACGTTTGTCTTTGGGGCTGTTACTCCCCACTGCCTCCACGATCCTGCGTCACCATGGCTACAGCCCCCATGCATCTGCCCCTTCGTCTCACTGGATGATTGAGGTTGCTCCCTCTCGTCTGCTCTTGATCCCTCCAGTCTGTCCTCTGTACAGTGGCCACAGGCATCTCTGTGAGCCGCAGATCTTACAGGCTAGTCTACCCCCACGTCTTTCAGTGGCCTCTCGGTATTCCTGACTCAGCTCGCCCCTGTCTGGCCCTCGGTAAGTAACCTGGAGAGCTACCTTCCTTTATTGTTTCTGCTCTAATCCCCCGGCCTTCTGCCAGTCGTTCTTACGCAGTCACGTTGTATCTTCACTGATGGGATTCACAGCCCCTGGATCTCTGAGCATGTGCTGTGGTAACATTTTACATGGCCTGCTATACTTACTTGCTTCATCGTGACAGCTATCTCTCTAGGAGGAGAGCTGTGAAGTCAGGGCCCCTCGCTGTTTCGCTGACCCTCATCCTCCCAGAGCCAGCAGAATGTCTCCGTAACTCTTTCTTGAATGAAAATAAAACGGGTCATTCTGGGGTTATAATGAGCTCGACATATTGGATTGGAATGACTGTTTCGTTCTGGATGCTGTCAGCTTTAGCCCCTGAGGAGGTATAATATCTCTTGAATAGTTCCTTGTCTTGCTTACATTTTCACCTTTATGAGTCTTTTGAATTACCCGAGTTCTCAATCATCTTCAACCACTGAGGTCAAGAGCAGGTGAGTCCCCCTGTGTGTGTAGAGAGAGATTTATTCTATAAAATTTGTTTATTGTAATATTTACATATAGTGTCATTAATAAAAGAGTAAATCTAGACCATTATCAAATCAAAGCATATAAAATAAATTTTTATAGTAAGTTTTTAAATAAATATGAATTTCATCTACAGGTAGCTAAAAATAGCTAGATACAACATTTATCATATCCCAGATTATCAATAGGATAAAGTTAACTGATTATTACAATCCAGGTAAAATACTCTCAAAATAAAGAGCATTTTAACAATTCCTTGTCAACTAATTTACCCTTGTTAATGATAACTAGGTTAAAGGACCAGGCATAGGCTTTTGTATCCAGGACAGCAGAAGTTCCTGGAGTCATTGGTTGGTGGAGGATGGAGGTTAAACCCTCCCATCATTTTTTTTTTAAACACTCCTCTTCTAAAGCACTCCCCGGCAACTTCCAATCTATGGAAACCTACGTGTGCTTTTTAAGAAAACCCTGCCTTAAGATAATCCCACTCTCCTTTCCCAGTGGGCCGCCTGCCGCCCCCCTTCCCTAACGTCTTCCTAAATTACAATCTTGGACTTGCCAGTGAGCTACAGTCTTCTATCCATCTGCGATAGAAAATTTTCCTTTCAGTCATTTTTCTCGCGGACTAAGAAATCACATTTGGGAAGATTATACTTGTATTGATTCTCACCTATAAATATGAAATAAGAGCACGAGCCCCAGCCAGCTGTGCCTGTGCCGTCTCCTGCGCCGGCGGCCCGCTCTGTATTTACATGCCGTTAGCGGCGGCGTTTGCAGGGAGGCAAGCCTTCAGGGGTGTTCTGGCTGCGCGTGATGGGGATGTAAGTTTGCTCTCGCTAAATCCTCAACGGTAGTGACATTTCAGTTAGCATTTCGAAAAGTTGTAGAAGCATGATACTGTTCCCCTAGCCATCATGAGACTTGGCTGTCTTTTTTTTTTTCCTTTAGCGATAAGGCACTGGAGAATAATCTCGATGTCATTAAACTTTGTTTCCTTTATTAATCCAAGTCAGTGCGACTCGAACTGCATAAAATACTTTACATCTTTATGGATCTTATGCACATAGAGTAAATTCACCTGTGGCGCTGTGACTGGCATCAGTGAAAAGCGTGGTGCCCACGGAAACTCTTTTTTAAAAAAAAAAAAAACTGACACTGGACCTCACCCCACAGGGGAGACAGCTGTCCTGTAAAGGCAGAGCAACTGCCTCCCTAGAGGAGGGTATTAACTGTGTCACAAAGTAGTTGCTGTCGTGCTTAACTGTCCATGCACAGCAGCGACAGCACACAGAAAGGCCGAAAAATAAGACTGTCTGCAGGAAGCCACCTATGTCAGAATTTTACTTTCCGTTTCAATGCAAATGTGGAAAAGTTAGCAGTCCACTTGAGATCTTAACAGCCTTAGATGAAGTGGGGACGGCAGAGGGGACAGCACCCAGGAAGGCTGGCATTGAGTGTGTCCTGCTTGTAGAGTGTTCAGTACCCCCGGAGAGGCTGCAGCTGCTACGCTGTGGGAGAATGTAAGTAACTTTCTGTCATCTTGCCTCGGTTTTCCTTGATTTAATTCCGAGTTTCACTGCATTCTCTGTGCTAAATCATTTTTCTGTATTTGAGTTGCCAGTTGTAACTGGGCAGTGTCTTCTTTGCACCAAAGGCAATGATTTGCCAGCTTTTTGTTGTCTGCAAATAGAAGCAAATCACACTGAATTTCGGTAAGTTCTAGGTTTTTAGATTTTTAAATGTTGTTATTTTAACAACAGCCACTAAGGGTGAAGAGGTAGCTGTTTAGAGCAGTAGTTCTCAGCGAGGGGCACTTTTGCCCTCATGGGGACATTTGGCAATGTCTGAAGGCATTTTTCATTGTTTCACATTGGGGAAGGTGGTTGCTATGGGCACCGTGTGGTTAGAGGCCAGCGATTCGGCTGAACATCCTATAACGCACAGGACCGTCCCCAAGACCAGAGTCCCAGAGGCCCGCACGTCAGTAGTGCTGAGGTTGGAAAAGTCTGCTTTATAGAATAGTGGATTTTTTCCAGTAACCTACCTGATTCTATTACTTCATCTTTTTCTTCAAAGTTTCTATTAACTGTCTAAATGTTTCCAGTATGTCGTATTGAAAAACTAGAGGGAGGGGCCAGCAAGCAAACAGTGGGCCTTCTCTTCACTTCCCTCGAGGTCCACGGTGACCAAGTCCTTCTGGTGTCTTCCTCACGCGACCCTCTAACTGACACCTTCCTTTCTCTCTGTCTCTTGGGCTGCCGTCCCGGGTCATCCTCATCCTCCCTACCACAAAGGTAAAACAGTTCAGTGGTATCAGTGGCTACAGGAAACTCATTATGAGAACTTGTTAAAAACACAGTTTGGAGCCTCCTTCTAGGCTAGTCTGGGAAGGAGCTTAGAAAACCATGCTTGAAAGAAGTTGCTCTTAGGGTGATTGTGATGAGCACAGAGTGTGCGGGAACCACTGGCTTTCCGAACTCCCCACCTGCTCTCTCTTCTTGCCTTTAACTGGCCTACCCTTGGCTTTCTGTGCTGCCAGGGCCCACCCCCTGCCCAGGTTTCTCCCTGGTTAGGGACCATGGATGGATCCCCGTTGGTTACTGACAGAATATATGGACTAGAAGCATCCGGGGATGGTCCTCCACTGCCACTCCCCGAATAGGCTGCGTATTTCCTTACCCCACTGCTGCCTCTTCATCTCCTCCCACTGCTGAAATTGTACATGTCCGTCAAGGTCGAGCTGAGATGACTCTAATCCTGAGGTCTTACCTTCCCTGCTCCCTGTGGCCAGGCCCTGAGCTCTCGAGGGTACCCTTTTATGTGAGAGTAGAGCGAATGCTGACACGATAGCAACCTTTTACCCAGCAAAGTAACAATGAACCTTTCGTGTACAATCAGCAGAACAAAAATTTTCCAAGAAAATAAAGCTGTGAGTCTCTTACTATCCAAAGCTCAGTGCAGACAGGCTTCCAAACGTGCTGGGCGTGGAGCATGAGCTTCTTCCTCCAGGGAGAAGCTTTGAAGGATGACATCCTCGGTATGGACTGACCCCCGGCCAGCTGTACACATGGTGGAGTTTTAGAGAGATGCACAGAAGATCCAGGAAGAGCTGACATGACAGCAGCCAGCACTTCCTGAGCACTGAGCACATGACCGGCACCCAGCCACGTGCCTCCCCTAACTCATTCCTTCGTCACTACGACTGCGGGGGGCAGGCGTTGTAGTCTTCTGTTTAGCAGAGGAAGAACCTTAGAGAGAGACAGCCCTCCCATCTGAGAAAGTCTGGCTGCTCAAGCCGAAGGCCCTGGGGTCATCCTCAATTCTTCCTTCTGTTCCGTCCTTTATTTTATGTGTCACAAACCCTGCTTGCTTCATCTTTCAGCACTTCAGCCAGAGTGACCCCTTTAAGTTGGAAGTCCGGCCCTGCATCCCTTGTCTCATCTTTGCTCTTTTCCTGCCTGAGGCACAAAGCCCTTGCACTTCCCTCTCCCTGCAAAGTTCTTTTGCCAGGCAGGCAGGGCTCCCGTCTTTGCGTGAAACGTCTGCACAGATGTCTCCTTCCTTGACCACCCTCTAGAAAATGGTAGCCCTCTGCTCTGCCTGCCCCAGGACTTTTCTCCATTGTGTCGCTGTACTTTTGTCCATAGCACATCACCTTCTGACAGACTATTTATTTACCTGTTTGTCCAGCCCTCGTCTGCGAGCCAAACCAGCCCTTAGGTCATAGGCC